TTACTAAATAGTCCATTTGAAATAGCCTCACGATAAGGCCTTTTGTTCGGTGTGAAAAAGTATTTTCAGATTTTATTATTAACTTTTTTTTTATTTTTTCAATTGTTATCAATTTAGATGTGATGTGCTGGGACATTATTTGTAATCATGTTGATTACACAATGTAATTCAGTTGAAAGACAATGAATAATCATATTTCCATCATACAAAATGCCAGGAGCTCTTCACAGGACGCCGACGCTACACGAAGCCTGACGAGATTTCTTTCTTATCGTAGTCGGAAGGTTTGGCTACCAGATATCAGGGTTCATGGTTCGGGAAACATTCTTCTTGGTCAAAGCCACGATGCGTAGAATAATAAAGGCTCTGACTTTGGTGACCCCCAGTGGGGGCATTGGAAGCGAAACAAATCTTCACTTAGTACACTGAGTGAAGTGACCAAACGCAAGACTGATGCCTTATTATTCTACCGAGAATATATGCGGCCAGAATCATTTGAAACATTCCTATAGAAGCTTTGAAAAAAAATACATCTCTTATAAAATACTGGATAAAGAAAGATGTAAAGCCTGATGCTTTGCTCCAGCGTAAACACAAATTTGATCACAGTTTACAGTACAAATATTGCTGCAAAGACCATAGAAATACTTGACAGTGAACATGTATTCCAACAAAACAGCAAATGCACATTATTGTTAAATGACAATCAGTTTTATAAAACAAGTTAGTCTCACAGCAGTGGAGCTACAGAGGAACCCTCATCCGTACAGTAATCCCACTGCTACACTACAGTTAAGTATAGTTGTGTTGTTGTGTACCAATCTTTCAGCTCTCAGGATTCATGAAAACAAAGCTGCCCACTTTGCTTTATCTGCATGGCTGCTGGCACTCATGTTGATTGCTCTCCCAATCATTTTAAATAAAAAGCTACAAGAGGTGAATCATTTCAGGAGTTGTCCTTAAGTGCACCTTTCACATCCATTGTAGCCTTTCACAATTCAGCCCCGAACAGAATGTTACAAAAGTGGTCATCAAAGGCAAAGGGACTCATTTGAAGGTTTCAGCTCCTTTCTGTTCTTCTGGAACATTCTCTATGATAAAACCTGGTTTGCTTTATTGCGTCGTGTGACTCAAAACACCATGAATGCTTTGTGAACAAGGAGGTTCAATAACCTCGACCCTAAAAAGGTGACACGTTGTCTTTGATTTCAGACAGAAAAAAAAACAGCCTTCGTGGCTGATGACCGTGGGTTTCTGTGCACAGAAATGGCAACTGCCTCTTGCACATTTGATCAGATATATAAAGTATTTTTTTTCCTGATGAGCAGAACCTGGTTCATCACCTTCCGTCCACCTAAACCCCATTATGAGGCGTACTGTCCTTGCTTCATTAATGACCGTTGGAATCAAACAACAGTGTGTGCTCTTTCTTTCATGTTACGCCGGGCTAAAGCACTTATGCTGACTTATGAACGTGGCCGGCCCGCTCGCTGACAGCTGCACACGCAGCATCAGAAAGCCATTCGCTATCTGACGCTAGCTAATCCGGGGCGCCCCGTCCTCATAAAACATCCATGATCTCTCGCGCAGTATCTAATTAAGTCTTTTAGGCTCTCAGCCATGGGCTGTTCTAAAAGAAATGGCGTTAGCCACGGGTTGGCAGACGAATGTTTTGGATGCGAGCATCTGGCCGTCGCCATCTTGGCTTTGTGGGAACTGGGAATGGAAGTGACCACATTTGGAATGCAGAAGTGTGCGTAGAGGCACCGTATACTTCTGTGGCAATGAGCTGTCAATCACAATAAGCCTGGCTTAAAGCATACTCTGCTTTATGGTCTCTTTCAATACAAATGGACCATAATCTGCTAAATGAGCATCATGCTGTATTGAAGAAGATATTATTATAGATATATTATTGATAACAATAACTCATGTTTACTTTTTTTTTTTCTAATTGACTTTTCAACAATTTAGAGGAGTCGCCCTCCTTTGGGTCATTAGTATAGTGTTCGGGTCTGTAGGACTCGTTTTGATTTTTTATCAAAACAAAAGTAATACAATTCATTATTATTTCAAACTCAGACCTATTGGCCTTGGCAGATTTTCATCGGCCGCACACCGTACCCCCCACTACACATTTATAGCACATACACGGAAATAGATAAATAAAAGTGGAAATCGTAGGTCCTGTGTCTTTTCTATACACTATACTATAAGCTTGACGGAGGATGCGTTGAGGGATGAGATGGTGATGAGGTTGTCCTGGACATGGCTCAGGGACTCACTGGACACTACAACCATTTATTTACATACGTACAAGCTGGGACAGGAGCTGCATGAGGCAAAGCAGGTATTTGCTGTTTATTATTTTAACATAGTTATTTCATTTTTTTTTTTAATTCGACCAGCAGTACCAAAGATGGCCGCCTGCTCTTAGCTAACATTCCTACGATGCCTTAATTGTTAAAGGTAACTCTGTAGCACTCTGCTATGTTTTTGTGAGTGGGGGCTGGCTATGTGGTAGATGATGTTTTTGATAGGCGGTATTCCTGGTAACTATTTTAGTGGCATCTCATATAAACTAGGAAAAAAGGCTTTTGACTTTCCGTTCAATGAATATGAAGCATGGATATTCTACGGGCCACGCTGACGCATCTTTGCAGAGGATTTTTTGTGACTGCATACAATAGATTAAAACTGCAACTTTGCTAAATAAGAAATGTGCCATACTGGTTTCCTGCTTTAAAAAATTCCGTTTTCAATAGTGTCAGAGATGACGGAAACAACGAGTAGCACAATTCATGAAAACTGAAAGGGTTTTGTTTGTGTATGCCAACAGACCAGGTTGTTTTGGTGGTAGTACTAGTGTCCTTCAGCAACATGGCCTTGAATGAAATATTTCATCCTGCAACAAAAGTGTCCAGTATATTACGACACTGAGTGCTCATCTCCAAGGCAAAGAAATTAGAAAAACATTTGGCGGAAACATAATCTTTTGTAAATATGTAGGAAATCAGAAACTGGTTGTAGAGGTTAAACTCTTCAGGGGAGTAAGTTTTTAATTCAAATTGTACATTTGATATTATAAAAAAGTACTGTAGGCTACAAGCTCAGCAATGCATCACCAAACGAATTGCAATTGAAATCTGAAAAAATGACCACATTTTAGTTGTCACCCTTTTGACCCATTCGCCTGCTTCGCCCACAAAATGATTCGGGCCCCTTTTAGATATTACTTGATTTATTCAAGGTTATTTCACTGATTTGAACGTGTTATTAAATCCTACTTATCTTTTTTAATTAATCTTAACACATTCTTCCATGGTTTACGAAAAACTCATTTCCTTCATTTAAAGGTTACATGAAAAAAATGTGTACATTTTAAAACCACATTCAACTTCCACATCTGCGCATGTGCGACCACAAACCGCCCCTGGAGGACGCGGGAATTTTTTTCACTCTTAAAGATTTGCTATATCTCCTGGCTGTCTGGCTATCCAAGGCTCTACGTTTTCAGTAAGTAAACGTTTTAAATGCTAGTTGCTACCAAGAAAAGTAGTTTGCTGTCTGCTGTGTCTTGAAAATGTTAACTGAGGCTGCTAACGTTAGCTTAATGTTGCCTAGACCATTAAGGCTAGGTTAACATTAGTAGACTCATTTAAGTGAAAATAATTATCTAACTGAATGATATCACTATAAATGCGTGTTGCATCAAATGCTTTTCCTGTTTGACTTTCTCCGAGTTTGTGGCCACTAAAAGGCAAACCTAACCAATATAAATTGACTAACGTTAGCTGTTAGCTAACTAATGTTAGCTACTAATGTTAGCTAACATTAATAGCTTGTTAGCTAACAATAATAGCTTGTAGCTTGACCTCCCCGGCTTTCTCGGCATGTAGAAAGGTTTAACGTTACGGACCGACTTTAAGTGTATTTTTCAACTTAAAATCAGTGCGGTAATAATAGGGAGAACTAAAACTAAAAAATGTAAAATGTAAGCTGCAGCTGTTCTGTACATAACAGGAGGACAAGCAAGGTCGATTCATGACCACAGTCCTCTAAAAAATACTTGTTATAGTTGTTGGCAAAAAACTAAATGGATAAGATAATTGGTATAATTGGTTTGCCAGGCGTGCCAAAATAGTTTAGCTCCATTTTCAGCTCTGGTTTCATTAGAAATGAACTAACTACTGTAGCTTACCCACAATATTTTGTTAATAATTGAGAATTGATACTAATCATATATTTCTAGATATAATAATTATTCATGTATAATTTGTTTTATTCTAAGACATTGTGCAGGGGTTTGTACTTCCCGTATTGTGCAAATAATTAAGGTTTGTTTAAGAAACCTTTCTGCTATTTGTTGCTCCTTTCTATAGTAATTATGAGGGTATATTTAAATACAAAATGAGTTTGTTGGGATCTGATTTGAGTCATTAGCTTAACCCAAGTTAGTAATGATTATTGAACATTACTTATTTTTAAATAAATTTACCATCCCTGAATTTTATTTCAAATCTGATTTGCTTCTGTGTGAGTTTTAATACATAATGTCATAGAATTATTTTTAAGGGAAATAAAAATAATATATTCTTATTGCCAATTATATGTGAGAATTTAGTTTTTTTTTAATCTCGACTGCCAAGAAACTCTTCTAAGAAATGTACTTGGCAGTCGAGGGGAGGCTGATCTGCTGTGATTGAAGAGGAAATAATAAGTAATTACGCACATCTCTTGACTTGACGGGTTTGGAAAAAAAGGCACTTTTGTGTCAAATTTAATAACCAGATAAAAACAATTCTTTTCTGGGTCTGTTTCCACTCTTTTCTCTTTCTGCTAAATGCACTCCAATGCAAAACAACTGATGCATTTACAATTTAGGAGACACGCGCGCAGCCCCCCCCTCTCCCCCCCCCCCCCTCTCTCTCTCTCTCTCTCTCTCTCTCTCTCTCTCTCTCTCTCTCTCTCTGCCATTGGTTAACACGAGGCAGGCTCGCGGGATGATGGTGACGCCTGTGAGAAGAGGGCTAAAACTCGGAGCGCACGTCTCTCGCGCTGCGCACACACGCGCCGCAAAAGTGAAGTGAAAATGCTTCTTCCCTCCCGACCGACACTCCACCTCGTAAGCCGTCCACTTCTCCTCCTTCTTCTTGTTCTTCTCGTCCTCCTCCTACCAGCGCGCCGAGCGGTCCCCTTCCCTGGTTTACTGGAGGAACTTGCGCAGCTGGGCTCGTCCAGCTCGGAGGAGTCGAGAGGAGGCGCCGGCGGAGAGCCGAAGCGCCGCCGCCAGCCCCGCGGCGCGCCCGTGGAGAGCTCCGCGCCGGCATGGGTGCGCTGACAAAGGGACGTTACCTCTCCGCGATGGGCCTCCTGCTCCTGGTGTACTGCACGGTGTCAGTGGTCTGCAAAGGTAAGAGCTGTGCTTCGCGCAAAACAATAAAAAAACAAACAAAGAAAGCAACGGGCATCATCGTTACGCGCCACTTGTCACGCTTCTACCCTGTGTGTTCACGCGTCTGGGATCATTCAAAAACGTTTGCAAACACTACAGTGCAAAAACTGTAGTGATTTGATTTCCCCGATGTGGCTTTTTGATTCAATCCAGGGACTTAATGGCACTATTTGAAGCGTCCCCCCTCCCACGCACACACCCTAATGCGCACCAGAGCCACCGATATTGATTCATCAAGACCCAGGTCACGCCGTCAAGTTCCCACACTGTTTATCTTTCTCATAAATCGATGTTAATTGTCCCATTCCCACTGTTCGCTCAGTCTCTAATGAATCCATCATCGTGAAACGCGCGCTGCATTTCGTGGAGAGGATTTAACACGCGGGCACGCCTGTGCAACAGGCATGTCAGTGCATTTCTTTCCCTCATCTGGGAGTTACTGAGCTGCTTCTGTCTTCCTTTGAGCAAGATCCCCTCCCATATCATGAAGTGGATGCAGTGTTAGAGAGAGAGGGGGGTGGGAGGGGTGTTGGGCTAAATAAGACAATATGTCTTATTTATGTCGTTGACATATTTAAACGTGTTTAAAAGGGCAGCATGGTGTTTGATACCGTGAGATTGTCACATAAAGACATTGTTATCCACATTTGGTTTGTAACAGATGCACGTGAATGTGTTTAAAGTGGCTGTGCTGGGTGGGAAGGCTGTTGGGATGATCGGACATCTGTCCCAGTTTGATGGTGGCGCCGGACTCTTGGAGTGGTTTCCCTCTTGTGAGTGTTGCCATTGTGGAAGAAAGTGGGGGGGGTTTTGTTTAGAAAGAAAAAAAATATTATTGCATTAAGTTTTCTTCTGGCGACACTTTGGTTCTGGTGAGTGAAGCCCTGCATTCCCCCCACTGACCAGCAAGGGCGACTGTGGTTGTGAAAAGTAGTTTGATTCTATGGCTCTACGTATCTCTTGATTTATTTCCCTCAGTAAACATTGTAAACATGAGCGTGTGGTCTCATTTGTTGTTTTATCGTCTCCTTCAATACAACATGATGTCAAATTATGCTCCATTTGGAATCCAACAGCAGTGGATGCTTTAGGGCAGGGCTTACTGTGATTGACAGGTCGCTATCCGATCAGAGCCACATACATTACATTACATGTCATTAAGCTGACGCTTTTATCCAATTATAGTGTCACTCCTCCCAAATCCAAATATATAAAATACCTTCAGTTCACTCGTTGCAAAAAGCAGAAATGGCGATGGCCAGAATCAACAAACTCAAGGCTTCGAAACGTCATTCCACAAAGCGAAGGGTGACGTCATTACGACTCCGCCTGCTCCTCCGATACAGTGACTGCTTTTGATTCAAAGACGTTTGCCGAACAGATATTTGATCGAGTAACAAATGTTACAACACAAAAACGTGTTTGCCTGTCAGTCATCTTATTCAAGCTTCGCTCATCTCTCCTGGAAGATAAAAAGTATCAAAGTAATCAAATCATTGTTTCTACCGTCTACTTCCCGGCTGTTGCCCGGAGCTGACGGTCGGTAGTGTAGGACATGGGTGAGCGTGGACACCGAAGCTGTTTGAGTCAGATGTGATATTGCCTCCCCCCCCTCTCCTTGGAGCTAACGTATGGTTTGAGCTCACTGTTTGACAGCAACATGGAGCTGAACTCTGCACAGTAATAGATTGAGGTCACAGCATCCCGACTTCCATCGTCCTCTGCAGTCACGGAACGTTTTTGCTGTCCACATCTGCTGCCCCAGCTCAGTAACTCTCTGCTTCTCTAACGTGGAAGCGTGCCTGCCACCTTCTACTGTTGCTAATCCGCTGACTATGGATGAGTACCTCACACAACCACACTTCCATTCAACCGCACTATCCTTTCAAGTCTCAGGCCTAAACCCCAATGACCCCGTGTGAGTGGATAAAATCCGCTGTCCTATATTAGGCCTTTACAAAGAGCCCGTCTCTTTCTGCCTCACATGGAATTCAGCTCTCAGTTTCCCAGCCGATGTTGTCAAAATCCAAGTTGTATATGTATATTTGAAGGCTGCACATCAAATATACATTCCCAACATACAGAGGCAGAAAGATACACTCCGGACTCAAGGTTATGAATATATACGGACTAAGTGTGGTGTGTATAAGGACACCTGCCAAGGGCATGAATAAGTAAATTTATCAGAACGTTGTTTGCATAAGCATAAGAAGTTAAGGTATTACAATAACCGACTCTACTGGAAAACAAAGATATCCAAAGGCCATCTCGGGCCCGATTTTTACATTACATTTCCATGTTACCTAATAACACTGAAACCTTGTTTGATAAAATGTAATAAGAAATAGTGCAAATGCCAATCAGAATGTCATACTGCTTTTATCCAAGTGTTAATGTAGCACTTAAGGCGAATTCCCTTCGAGCGACCGATCGTCGTCCCTCCGCTTGAAAACCTCATGTGACGCAGCCTCCGACGCGTCCGACCGAGTCTGCAGGGATCAAAGTGACATCGTGTCGTCTCGAGCTCCTCGCGTGTGGCACGGAGTCTCCGCGGGTCACCCCTGACGGGTGCAACGCGCGTCAGACGGTCGGACACAGCGGGTCGGGCTGAGCTGGGGGGCCGGACAGCGTTAGCTCGCACCCCTTTCAGCTCTCAAGGATCAAATGTCGGGTTTCGCGAGTCACGAAGAGGGAGGGGCCCGTAGTGTGCAGCACGGCGCTGAGTACGTGCAGCGAGGCCCAGGGGACAAACCCTCAGGAGGCATCGTTCATCCATGCATCACAGTACAGGTCACGAAACAGATATTTTAGGGTGAGAGATGTAACTTCCTTACTGGATTGTGTATCGGCTGTTACCTTGTGCCATTATCTCCTAATGAAACACTACTTAGAGATGCGGGAAGGCAAACCGAATGCCCCGATATGTAATATCCTCTTATAACCTGCCTGCTGATGAAGCTCCCGTTGATTTCCTTTGACACGCCGGCGTGTTTGTTCGGGACTTGATGATTAATTTATGTGATGTGTGATTAGGAAGGACAGCGGCTGTGTGTAGAAAAATAATGAGCAAGGGGATTATCCGATATTTGATGGAGGAGAGTTTTATGTCACCCAGGTCAGTTGGGGGTCTCGTTAGATGCCACGCTGAAAGTTTCCCTCATGCCAGGTACGATTCCAAGAATATGTTGTGAGATCAGCGCGTGGAGCTGCTGGTGTTCGCCTCGCTGGAGAGGATCACGTCCACCGCCGCGCTAAACGCCGTCTTCCAGCGTCTTCCAGCTTCATGGATGGGCAGATGCGTTGGCGAGGTAACCGCTGCGTGGCGCAGCCCCTCCCTCTTTTGACCCTTGACCTTGCATTGCAGATTGCACCACTCTCCGTTAGTGCTCTTCAGGTTGGAACAAAACAGAACAGAGAACACAGAGAGAAAATAAGCCAAAATATTGTGGCTTCTTTTGTTTTCTAAAGCAGAAGAAGAAGAATCTCAAGGTTTATTTCACATTTTTCTGTGTACACCGCCTTCATGAAAACCGACAGAGGTCAAATCTGTTATTTTCCCTGAGAGAAAGAAAAGAGGCTCTTATATTTTTTCTGCCGATCCCCCAGAATGAATCACCGTAGTCATGCTGTTGCGCAGTTCAGTGCCCGGATTTACATTTAAATGAAACCAAATGGCTGTACATTCAGGAATGATATACAGTAATGATGATGGTAATAAAAGCAAAGACCTTCTTCATATCGGACCGGCTCCCACGTGGGATTGCTCTCATTTGGGGGCCTTTTGCAGGTAGAGCCGCTGAGTTATGTCTTTGCTATGTCAAGACTATTACCTTCACATTTCAACGAGTCAATTCATCAACGCGCCGCCTAAGAGGCTCACTATAGTCGGCAATCAGCCCCGCAGCTCATTGGCTTCTCCTGTCCGCTCTGCGGTTGAATGGTACTTACACATTCAACTTTCTTCCTGCCACTGCGTTTCGTCTGTATCCGCAGGTTTCATACCCTGCAAAATGCTCTAGCACATTGAAATGGTCCGACAGCCTGGTTCTGAAAACCACTGCAGGTGGAATCGTCAGTGGAAGTCATCTTTTCTGTAGCCGAGCTGGAGAAACGGGAACAGAACAGCAGACGTGTCGGTAAGAGTGGAAGAGCCTGTGTTTAAGTTGACTCATAAAAATAACGCAAAATGAGTACAATATTTAGGTTTTACCAAATTAATATAAAATTACTGTTTTGAACACCTTTGGACGTGAGGTTTGGACGTGAAATAATACGTTTAGTAACGCTGTTTACTTATTGACTTAAATGGTTATTAATTCCATACTCATCCTTTAGCTCTCCTCCTTCGGTCCAAGCCAAGATTTCACTACAACTACCATCCTGATTTTGATTGTGTTCCTCACAGAAGTGATTTTTTCTCTAACCAGTAACTGCCCTAAAAATGTCTTGTGAAGTCTTCCATCACAGGCTACATTTCCCAATATAAGGAAACATAACTCAAGGGTTTTCTCTGGAGCATTTTTTTTTAGGATTTCAAGGAGAACTAAGTACAGAATAAGCTAGACTTTGCGAATACATATATTGTGATAATGTAAGCAAGCCAATATATTGCAATTGTTTAAAAAAAAATCTGCATGACATCCCATTAAAAAATGGATCTTGATTCTGCATTTGCGTTCATCAAACAGCAACATTGTGTAAAATCAGAGCAACGATATTACCATTGGCCAATATCTGTGATCGGTAATTCTAACTAACCAGAGCGCCACTGGGTCTGTTATTTAGAATTCCTATGAAAATGCTTGAGTCACATTGGCCTAATCTGCCCCGGATGAACGCCGCTCCTTCCCTTTAACTTAATCTAAGGGGACAGCAATCAGAACGGGATGAGAGGACCCCTTCAGTCACAGTGCTAAATCATGTACCAAAGCTGCAGATACCCGTCATCCATCTCAGTC